GGGAAGGCTGTGCCCTCCACGGTCAGGTGTTAGGGCTGCGGTGGCTGAAACGTGGTAGTTCCAAGGTAACACAGGAATTCCAGGTGGGCCCCTGTAACTGCAGACCTGAAAAAGTAAGACTAGCTTTGAGACAGACTCTGTTTTACTTATACTTGGTATAGCTGAGGAAGGTGAGCTGGGGCAGGGGAGGCACATTCTTCACGTCAAAGGATGGTAATTCCTCTAGATCAGAAATTGTCAAAGCTGGAAGAGGGCACAGAAGATGACAGAATCCAACTTCTTGTTTTTCCTGTAGGTGAAATTGAGACCCAGGAGAGGAAGGGGCTTGCTCAGATCAAAAAGAGAGTTAATGGCAGCTCCGTGCAAGTATATGAAAGGAAACATGACAGGAAGCCAGACTTTGAAATAGGTGTGCCAGATTGGGGTGTAAGCCTTTCCATTTGACCAGCAATCATTATGCCCTTGTCTAGAATTTCCAGTGGATTAAAGACAATACAACACCCTAGTTTATATAACTAACCCCCAGGAAATTATCAGATCTGTGTTTGTTTTAAAAATGATTATTTTCTGTTAATTGGTATTTTACCCCAGATATTTGGTCATCTAACAGCAAGGCAAACCTATTTCTACGTAATTTGGCCGTGCTGGTAGGAACAGTGTCGCACCTGGTTCAGGCTCCTCAGCATGGTGTGCAGGCACAGGGTGGGCAGTCAGAAACCTTTTTAGTTAATTTATGCATTGTGGAAACACAGTGGCCGTTATAGTCTGACAGACCTGGATGTGAGTCCCAGTTCTGTCACTTACGAGCTGTGTGGCTTTGGGCAAGTTATTTCACCTTTGAGGCTGTTTCTGCATCTGTGAAATATGGTGATGAGTGTGTACGTATGTAAACATGCACGCTTCTAAAATAATACTTTTCAGTATCCTAAACCGCTAACACGGTACCTGGCACATATACTGTGGGGATTCCTTGGGGTTTTTTTTTTCTTATTTGTTTGTTTGTTTTAAGGGGAGACTCTTACTTTTGTTTCATGTTAAACTGCAGAGCTACCATTAGGAATCAGCCAAGGAACTAGAATCGAAGACTGTGGCTATCTAGGCATTATATCTGAGAACTACTTTAAACTAAGAAAAAAAAAAATATGTCTACACACACACACACACACACACACACACACACACACATAATGTCTTCGTGATTTTTCCAGCTCTATCATTGATCACTCTCCCTGTCCTATCCCTGTTGCCTTCTTTCTTTCTCTCCCTTTGCCTCAAAGAAAACTAATGGAGCCATACAGAAAGCTCAAAGATAGAACTGACCTTGTGCACCTTTAATTGAGGACAAAATTTGCTAAAAGTGTGTCTAGAAACCCACCAGTGGTTTACTTTACAATCTGTGTCCTGGCTAGACTGGCTGTTGGCTGTATAATTTGTCTAGTTTTGTCTGGAGTCTTAGACTATTCAGCTGCTTCAGGGCAAAATCTTTTGGGGTGTCATTAAATGGGATTGATAATTGGCTTCTGATGAATATTCATTGTGACTAATGACTTTGGGCAAATTTTACACATACTATCTTTCTATTCTCCCACTGAGTGAGATTTTGATAGGATCATTTTCTTCAACTTGCACTTCAATTAAATATTCAGAATACCCCTTTGTTGACTATAATTCAAATTGTATACTTTTATTACTTTAAAATTTTGTATTCTATAAGGAATGAGCATAGGCTTTTAGGAACCTTATTTTTACAAATGGAGTTGGCCTTAGAGTTGTTTTTAAAATAAGTGGCTAATGATAATTTATGGGATATAATATTATTTCTGATTAAGCACAGGTAAATCATAACACTTTTCTTATGGTTGACTCACCACTATTCCTAAGTAATGATGTACATTGTTTTGCCACTTTGCATTTTGGAAAAGAGCCAAACAATTCTCTTTTTTGTTTGTCTGTTTGTTTTCTTAACCAAATGGGTAAATGCATTTTACTCCAATTACAGAGATTTGGCTTTTAGAAAACCGCCAATGAGAATGATGATCAAGCACCTTTAAAGTTCAATTTTTATGAGGGATAGGTAATTTTAAAATCTTGACATTTAGCTTTTAGGTCTTTTTGAGGGAAAGGAGACATGAAAAGAACATTGTCTGGAGATAAGATCTCTGTCGCTTTATTGCTTGAAATAGGATTTTGACTCAAACCAATTCAAGCTAAAAAGAGGGAAATAATCAAGTTCTGTCTTAACCAGGAACATTCTTTGGAATGACTTTTCCAAAGAGAATTACAAATGAATTCATGTGATGAGGACATCTTATATTTGTACAGCACCTTAGAGATTTTAAAGTGCTTTTACTTATTTATTTGATGTGTTGTAGAGTTACAGAATAGGCGTATTATTGAAAGAAAGGAAAGAAAGAAAGACAAGAAAGAATGAATCCATTGACATGACTTGCCAAAGGTGGCATATTTGTGTGTCTAAGCTTGCCATTATTGTTTTGGAATTTGAGTCCTATACCCCACTCTGTGAGACTCAGGAAAATGTTGGTCCAATAGCTAAAAGCCAGGCCACTAACTATCTTTATATTGTGAATATATTTTAAGTAGGAATTGTTTTTTATTTATGGAAGAAACATTGCATCGGCTCTCACTTGCAGAGATGCTGTGACACTAGGACACGGAAGGGAAGAGAGGCAGGGTCTTCCTGGAGTTTACAGTGAGAGGACCGGCATGCAGACAGGAATAGTGCCATTAATAATGGGGGCTTATGCCCAGAAGAGCCATGTGAGGAAAGTAGTGCTTTCACAGAGACCCAGAGGAGGAGTTTGCTAGGGGCACAGATCCAGGAAAGGAGTACATAGCTACTCTTAAGTCTGAAACGACTTATTCAGAGGATGAACTTGGAGAAGGCGGCAGAGGCTGTGGCTGGAGATGCTGCTCTCCAGGTAGACTGGAAGCTGGTGGAGACACGCCTGCTCCCGACGTGCCTCCAAAGACTGCCGAGGAGGATGTGACATGACCGGACCTGCACTTTAGTATGAGTCCTTTGACAGCTAGTTAAAGGATGGGCAGGAAGAACTGGGGCCCAAAGCCAGGGTAACCCTCCAGCCTGACTTCAGGGTACAGTTGGAGTGAAGTTTGTTCATTTTCTCCCCATTCAGCACCAGCAAAGATTTTTCATCTCTTCTAACCCTGAAGAGATGAGTCATGTAAAACATGACAGCCTTCTCTATATGGAATCCTACTGAAATGGGTTGAGAAGGGATGGATTAAACCTACAAGCCTTGGCAGAGTCGCTGGGAACAACTCTTGAGAGCTTGCTGGATCAGCTCCTGTTCATGGCATGTACCTGATTTAAAGAACAGCGTCTGGAGGGAGAAGGAAGGGGAAGAAAGTAGCGGCCGTGGATTTAATACACAGCTTTCACAACTGGGAAACATCAGCAGAATATCCAATTTAAAGCTGTTCAGGTTACACTAACCTCTGGGATTCTTTTAACTGGGCCTTGGCACGTCACTCTTTCGCCACGTAAATGTCCTTCTGTCAGCGAAGGCCAGTTAACAGCTTCCAAAAGAAGCAAAGACCTCATGGGAACAGGCTTCCCAGAAACCAAAGAAACATTAAAGAAAAAAGGCAGAAAGAAACATGTGTTGTTGGCTTTTGTCACTTCATAGCCATATCTCCAAAGGTGTTGGGGGTTTTTTTCCTTCTTTCACTATACTAAATTTTGTAGCAATTTTATCCCATTATATCTCTGTCCCTAATTTTTTATATTATATCAGATCCTGATAGGCTGTGTCTAGCTCTTAAGAAAAAGAAGGAATATGAAATAAGGGCATGTCAAAAGAAGAGGGAGAGGAAGGATTAGTCAGTAAACAGTGCTGGGGCAATTGATTATGTGGAAAAAATAAATTCTCACCTCTGTCCTTAAACCTAAATTAATTCCAGATGGATTAAAGAGTTAAATGCTGGGGAAGAATTTGGAGGCCTTTCTCAGTGTAACAGCAGTAGAAACCATCATGAAGGATAAGATTTGTCTGTGAAATTATTTAAACCTTCTCTCCCCCCCACCCCTGCCCAGTTCAAAGGAAATTATAGAAGGATAAGTTATTTTCAGAAACATTACAATTAGTATCCTTTGTATATCCAGTGTTTGCTTGTGAATCACTTTCAAAAAATGCTAATACTCACTGGTGGACTAAGAATATGAACAGACCATTGATCTATGAAATATAACCAAGAAACATGACAAGATGTTAAGCCTTAGACATGATCAGAAGAATAAAAATAAAATCCAAATAGATACACTTCCAAAGCTACTAACTTGACTACAGTTCTTAGCCCTGGTGAGGTGTGGAGAGGACATTCTAGTGCATGGCTGTGGGAGTGTAAAGAGCCTCCATCCATTATTTATTATATTAATACATTTATTATACTTAAACTATAGTTACTGTCTCTGAATCTTACATCTAGGAACCATGTATGAAAATTATTGACATGATCTGATTATATATTGTAATGTTGGGAGAGTGGTTAAATATAGTGTGGGAAATTCATTGAGTGTCATTAAAAGATACGTCTTCTAGGAATATTTAAGGATGTGGGAAAATGCCAGCAAATAAACGTAAACTTTAAAAGAAGGCAAATGAGCACTGTATTTACAGTAATCCTAATTTTATTAGAAAGGGGAATAAAAGTGCTTTGTTGGTAATTCCCCAAAATGTCAAGTTATCTTCAGATGGTGGAAGGCTTTTATTTTCTTTTGCCCCTTTTTCCATTTTCTAAACTTGTTACCATCTTTGTGCATTAGCTTCATAATCAGGGTGGGGAGGAAGATTTCTTAGGAAAAGCAAGCTCTTACTAAATTTGAATTCGAGTGGTTGAGTTAACTCATATTTCTAAAAATGTCGAGAAGTAGGTATTGAATTTTATTGCTCACCTCCCAACAACAGCGTCTCTGCATGTGGATTTCTTAGCTCTGAAGTTTTGGTTTGCTTGTATTACAGTTGACCGCCTGCATCCACGGGGCCGCCGCCATGCTGTACCCCATGTTCTGGCAGCACGTGTATATCCCCGTCCTGCCTCCGCATCTGCTGGACTACTGCTGGTAAGGCTGCTGCTCACCCCGCTGCTCACCCCGTCCCCTGCTTCTCCTTCTCCAGCACCTGACGAGGACGTTAGGGCCGTCCCTTGTAATGCAACTGGTGATTAAACTGAAACTATTAACTTCAAAACGACGTGCATTTTAGACCAGGTGATTGCATGGCCCTTTTGTTTCCAAATGGCTTTCGGCTATGCCACTGCATTCTGCAGAGTTCAAGGCCGTGGATCTTTTCCCATCTCTCACTTTGGAGAGACCAAAGCACCGAGGAGTGGTGTGATTTTTTTTTTTTTTTTTTTCTTTTTCCCCCAAGATGGGTTGGAGCCTAGTGAGAACAGTTGGGGTCCCCGAGGTCTTCAGGTTTCAGCCATACCCTGGCACATTCTGTAGGACTCGTTTTCAGCTGTGGTCTGGGCGCACAAACCAGACTTCAAAACCCCCTGCAGTTTTTTGGTGGGAGTTTCACTGTTCAGGGAAGTGTATTTTAGTGGAAGGAAAGCAGGCAGGCTCTACCACCTTGGGCAGGTCCCTTGGCTTAAGACTTTGTTTCCTCATTTGCAAAATGAAGTTGTTCCATATGTAATATATAAAGCTAAATGATACAGGAGATGAAGGGACACGGTGTAGAAAAGCTGGCTCATGGTAAGGGCTCAGTAAATGTTTCCGCAGATATATCGTCACTGTCTGTCCTCGATAGATTACCAAGAAAGACTGTCTGTGTAACGGATTTGGATCTGTTTTCTTTCTGAATAATTTCTTTCTGTAGCATAATGTGATTAAAGACATTGTCTGCAGACAGCTCAAGTCAGCAGACGTTGATAAGGGAGCACTGTACGTATGTGGGTAAAGGTACTGCCTGCCAGAAATTAAGAGCTTCAGGAGAAAGGGACCCACTGAGGGGTCACAGCCCTGTCACTTAAAAACAGATGATTTTAGGACATTTACCATCAGGTCAGTCATAATCTTTGCTGGGTTCTTCCAGCCCATTTTGCAATCCTGTCACTGGAGATGGTTCGCTGAAGTAGCCAGATTGTCCTGGGAGCTTAAGGGTATTCTGCAGTACTCCTGATTTGAATGTGTTGGGCTCACTCTCATCCCAAGAAGCCATGTGTACAACCAAGATGTAGCTCAGGGCCATCAGGTAAAAATCAGTGGCCCTCTCCAGTGCATAGCACTAAGTGAATCGGCTCATTTCTCTCTCAATTATGTATCTTTCTTATCAAGGTAGCTGTTTTTATTTGTGCCTTTCTCCCACTTCCTATGAAATTAAGGGACTATTCCTCTGCTTAGACTTGCTGCTTCCTTTTGAGCTTCTAAACCAACTATCTTGGTTTTTTCCATACTGCCATGTGTCTCAAAGGAGAGGACCATGTTTGCTATCCAGTAGTGTTTGTTGTTGTTTGAATGAAAGACTGGGGGGCTGGGCGGAGGAGGACACTGACACTCAGACAGGAAGAAAGAGATAGGGGAGTGGGAGGGGGAAAGAGGACAGACAAAGGTGGAGGAGGATAGTGAGAGGAATAGACGGAAAAGGTAGAAAGGGGACATATGTTCCTAAGACAGACTCACACAGTGATTCCCAATCCCCTTAGCACATGGAAGCCTGCTGCCAGCCCCAACATAGAACACTCTCATAGACACCTACCCCCACACAGACATGTGGCCCCCATACTCTCTCTCTCTCTCTCTCACACATACACACACACACACACAGGTCCCTTCCCTATGCACGTCTCTGATCCCTCCATGGAGAGACACCCGCCCTGCACACCTCACCTCAGACATGTGCTTTAAGAGGAAACCTTAGAGTTCTCCCTGGAAAAGACTCACCTGTGTGTTTTGATGCTGCGCTTCAGATGGGAGCACAAATGGGCTTCTGTGTGCAGGTATTGGTAGGACCTGGCAGCGTCATTGTAGTTTCTCTGCCTCCCAAATAGTACGACTTTATTTTTCTATTATTTCAAAAGCTTTGGTTGCTAAATTGTCAGCTAGCTTAAAACTAGCAGCTTACATTCCCAGAACTGTGCAGAGAAAAAGGCTTTGTCAGTTACAGTGGTAACAATAGCTGCCAGAGTTGAACATCTCCTATGCCCCAGTCTGTGATCTCACTTAATTCCTCTAGCAACCCTGGGAGGCGGGTATCATTAGCTCCATTTCACAGGTCGGGAAACCAAGGCCCCAAGAAGTTTAGTAACTTGTTCCAATATAGATACCATGTATTGAATGATTCCGTTTTTATAAAAACAAACGTGTGTCTATGAAACACAAAAATGTGTGTATACATATGTAGATGTATGTATATGTATGTGTGTGTATGTATATATGTATACACACACATACACAAAGGCAGAGATCTAAGAGGAAACACACCACAGTGTTAGCAGGGGTTTGTGATGGGGAGGAGGGAGAGGAACTCTGTGTGATTTTTATTTTATTTTGTTCTATGTTATTCTGTTTCTACAATGAAAAAGTATGGTTTCTATACTTGAAAAGTTTCACTTTAAAAAAAAATCAGTATTTATTCTAGCCAGTTGTTCTTTCCAGCCCTCCTTTCTTGTTTGCTTAAAGGAGTTATTGGCTGTTTTGCTCTTTTCCTGTGGAAGGTGATCCGAGATCCTCTTTCCAACTTCCTCTCTAACTCCAGCCCTCTCCTGAACTGCCTGCCCGAGAGCAATGATGCTGGCGGGTCTACCTTAGAAGGGAAGACCCAACAGTGAAGGCTGCTAAGTCCTTGTGAACCCCAACTTCCACTCCAAAAGAAGCTAAGACTTGTATTTTTCAGAGCCTGAGTGGGTTTTGTGATTAGGCTCCATCTTGGAGGTTTCTGTGTATACGATAGCAGTCCCTCTCCTGGTCTCTTGTTTTCACAAGAGAACTTTTTTGACATTTGACCAAAGGATGATTACAGGCCAGTGGAGATTGGTATCTGTTTATTAACTACAAGATGTTAAGAATGTGGAAATAAAAGACCCCCAAGAGAAAAAACAGATCTTCCATTCAAGGCTTGGTTTGATCACCTTCAGCCTGCTACCAGCTGCTTTGGTCAGAAACTACAAATGTCATGAAATTTGAGTCAATGCTAATAACTTTATTCTATAGTGCTCGGTGACTTTCACCACTGTTGAGTTTAATCCTTGGTGGTAAGAGCCAGCAGGGATAACTAGCATTTTAAGTAAAGTGCTAGGAGCTTGAAACATGTAAATTTGAAGGAGGTTTGTTCCTCTGCAGATGATTTAAATGTTAAGTACGTCCCCATGCAGGGGATACACGAAATGGAATTTGAAAACTATTATCTCCTGTAGAAATGAACTCTCAATTTACTCACTGCACAGGAAGGGCAGATTCTAGTCATTTTCACTGCCAGCAGGTGCCCTTTCTATGCATAATAGACTTCGAAAGTGTAATTAACACATGAGGACCACTGCTGCCAGTTTTTCTTCAGGTACATGCTGCTAGGGGTTTTCAGGACAACAGTGTAGGCTGTGAGAGCTTTTTACATTGCACTTGAAGATGAGGTGTTCATTGGCTTCTGGACAAAGACATGTTAAATGGGGCTGAGTCCAGATCCTGCTTTTGGTATCACAAGTCATGGTCCTTGGACCCAGAGACCCCAAGAGCTATAATACAGCCTTGGGTAGAACAGAGATCAGTAGAGCAAAGCTCTGGGCCGCAGTGAATAAATGGAAAGTATGATGCCGAAAACCCCACAATTATGTGGAAGACTCTAATTGCACATTACAGCAGCCAATTATCTGAGTTAACTTTAATTAGAGTTATAATCACAGATTTTAATTATCTGAATAAATCCGTTTAGTACAAATGGTCTGCCCTAAATATTTCCCAAATTAAATTTTTCAAATCCCTTCCCATTTTTGGAGAGGATGGTAGAGAAAGTGCCTGGGCTTTGGATTCAGACAGACCTGGATTCAAATCTCAAGTTTCATCTCTTATTAGCTGTGTAACCATTAAAAATCTATTTTATCTCTTTGACTTGCTGTATCTTTTTCTGTAAAGTGGGTTTAATTTATCTACTTTGAAGAGTGGCTTTAGAATTAGAGAGATTGGTCATCAAGTGGCACACACGGGCCATTTAGTAAATGGTGGTTGCTCTTATCATGGTTATTATAAACATAGGACATGGATTTTGGTTTCCAGAAGGTTTAACTCACATCAAACATTCTTACTTCTACTGCTTTGTGAGCTCAGGGGAAAACTTTGTAATTCATCTTTTCTTTTTACCCCTCGGATTGTTTTTATTTTGATTATTTTTTTTTTTTTTATTTAACTTGAGTTATTGTATGGTTGTTTTCATTTGCAGCTGTGGCATAAGAATGAAAAGAAAAGAAACAAAAGCAGATGGCAGAGAAAACGAAAGGAGTAAGACATTTCCAGCCCTTATGAATATTTAAAAACATGTGCTGCTGGTTCCTTTCTACTTTAGATCTGTACCATTTTCTTGACTTTGAAAGTGAAAATGAGAATGTTGCCTACCTTGGCTGATGGCAGCCCTGACCTTGGCCAGTGTTGGGAGGGCCTGCCCATTTCTGGGACAAAGGGATTAACTTGCTGATGAGAATCTGCGTTTCCCTTCATTATCACAATCACCATCTACTGAGTAGTGTGTGTGTCATACTCTTTATAAACATTATTGCAAATCTTCAAAATCAAACCGTAAATAATATTTCATTATTAGCTCCATTGCATGGATTAGGAAATCGAAGCTCAGGGAGGTTTAGTGACTTAAACCACTGTCACACAGCTAAGAAATGGTAGAGCCTGTGCTTAAAATGTAAGGCCATCTGATACTGAAGCTTTCCTTACTAATATCCTCCAGAGTTTTAGAGAATAAGTTGTACCCATCACCAAGATTTGGTGAAAAAAACTTTCATGTAGGCTTCTTGATGACTTACGTTTTTCATTCAGAAAATATTTGTAGAGCACTTACTATGTACTGGGCACTATGCTAATTAAATGTTGCTAATAAAAGGTCCCAGTAGAAACCCACA